TGGGATTTTTTTTGGTTTTTTGGGGGTTTTTTGGGGGTTTTTTGGGGTATTTTTGGGATTTTTTTGGGATTTTTTTGGGGAATTTTTGGGGTATTTTTGGGATATTTTTGGGATTTTTTGGGGAATTTTTGGGGTATTTTTGGGGTATTTATGGGATTTTTTTGGGATATTTTTGGGGTATTTTTGGGGAATTTTTTGGGTATTTTTGGGAATTTTTGGGGTATTTCAGGGTATTTTTGGAGATATTTTTGGGGTATTTTTGGGGTATTTTTGGGGTATTTTGGGGGATAATTCTGGGATATTTTTGGGATATTTTTGGGATAAATCTAGGATATTTTTTTTGGGTATTTTTGGGATATTTTTTGGATAATTCTGGGATATTTTTTGGGGTATTTTTGGGGTATTTTTGGGATATTTTTCGGATATTTTTGGGATATTTTTTGGGGTATTTCCGGGGTATTTTTTGGGATAATTTTGGGGTGTTTCGGGGCCTCACCGCCACCTGGCGCGCTGACCGTGGTCTCGGGGTTTTTGGGGATATTTCAGGGATATTTTTGGGATATTTTTGGGGATATTTCAGGGATTTTTTGGGGATATTTTTGGGATATTTTGGGGATATTTCAGGGATATTTTTGGGGATATTTCAGGGATATTTTTGGGGATATTTTTGGGGATATTTTTGGCATATTTTGGGGATATTTTGGGGATATTTCAGGGATATTTTTGGGATATTTTTGGGATATTTTTGGGATAATTTTGGGATATTTTTGGGATATTTCGGGGATATTTTCAGGGATATTTTTGGGATATTTCAGGGATATTTTTGGGATATTTCAGGGATATTTTTGGGGATATTTCGGGGATATTTTTGGGGATATTTTTGAGGATATTTCAGGGATATTTCAGGGATATTTTTGGGATATTTTTGGGATATTTTGGTGATATTTTTGGGATATTTTGGGGATATTTCAGGGATATTTTTGGGATATTTCAGGGATACTTTGGGGATATTTCAGGGATATTTTGGGGATATTTCAGGGATATTTCAGGGATATTTTGGGGATATTTAGGGGATATTTTCGGATATTTCAGGGATGTTTTCGGGTGTTTTTTCTCCTCACCGCCGCCCGGCGCGCTGACCGTGGTCTCGGGCCCGAAGTCGCCGTAGCCGCCCTCGGAGCGGGCGCGCACCCGCACCCCGTAGACGCCCCCCGGGCGCAGCCCCCCGAGCTCCGCCCGCGGCCGCGGCACCTTCAGGAACTGGGGGGGCCCCTCCCCGCCCCCCAGCTGCGGGGGTCAGGGCCAAAAAACACCCCAAAAACACCCAAAAAACACCCAAAATCCACCCCAAAATTCCAGCCCCCAGCTGCGGGGGTCAGGGCCAAAAAACACCCCAAAAACACCCCAAAACCACCCAAAATCCACCCCAAAATTCCAGCCCCCCAGCTGCGGGGGTCAGGGCCCCGAAAACCCCAAAAACACCCAAAAAACACCACAAATACCCCCAAATCCACCCCAAAACACCCCAAAAACACCCAAAAACCACCCAAAAACACCCCAAATCCACCCCGAAATTCCAGCCCCCCAGCTGCGGGGGTCAGGGCCAAAAAACACCCAAAAACACCCAAAAACACCCAAAAATACCCAAAATCCACCCCAAAATTCCAGCCCCCCAGCTGCGGGGGTCAGGGCCAAAAAACACCCAAAAAACACCCAAAAACACCCAAAA